GTATTGTTGGCTATTGCTACAAATATACCCCAGCGACTTAAGACTGCTTTTGTGCTCCAGGGTCACATATGTGGCTCTAGTATCTCTAGCAAAGCATCAAACTGAGCCACTGACATCCTGAAGTAAACTTGAATCGCACGTGATAATTAATAAGGAGGCAGAACATGCATTGAGTAGGGTCTTCACCTTTAAGCAAAAATGCATGAGTCAGTCTTGACATCCTGAAGTACAATTTGAATCGCTCGGGATAATCCCGCTGCTCCTTAATAACGAGGGGAACTCTCCTTCCTCTCTATATCTCAGGATTGGATGGACCCAACATTTCCTTTCTTTTTCTCTTTTTAAGCAGCGAGAGGACAACAAAAACAGCCTCACTACTTGAAGACTCCATTTAGTAACATTACTGTTGTGCAAATTTTTTCGCAGCAGATTAATTCATACGCATCGGACTCAGTGTGCAAGGTTTCTGTGCGTGACAAATTTTTAGGATGACGAATATGAAAAAACACATACGAAAATTTCGGACTCAGTGTGCAAGGACCTTTGAACAGTAGGAATGCAAAAACACCGCTAGCCCACGGTTCAATAAATACCTCGATTTTTTAACCAAGTTTTTCGGTTCAGTTCTGATGTCTCAGCACATCAGAGTTTTTTTTTTTGCGATTTAAAATGCTTTTTTAAAAATAAATAACTCCAGTACACTTCTGAACACTGTAGAAAAGCATGGATTATCTTATGTCTTCTTCAAATTTCTTTTGAGAGAAGTATTACTTTTATGGATCGCCCATTATTTAGTGCTATAAACACATGTAATGTCAGTTTCATTCATACTGGACACCAGAGGGTGAAAATCCACATATGCATCACAGAAGTAATAGAGCTTATGGCGCTCCAGGAAATACCCAATATGGACAAAGGCATCCAGCTATTCTTGTAACTGAATAAAAGAAAGAAACGCCCTGAATGATGAAACATGAAGACAATAAACACTTGACTGTGACAATGAATAGTTTATCTGTGTTTTTAAAACCACCTCGGCAGATATATTAGGCATTCACTGATAGACACGGCTCTCAAACGCTCATTGTAGCCAATCACAGACATATCTGTTGAGCGTGTGAACACAGTGGCCAATCACCGGTGTTTAAGAATCCGCTCAGCAGCGCTCAAATTCTAGCGGGAAATGCTGGTATCATGCCATTTTTTAAATTTCGGTACCGATGTATTTTTCACTGCGTGAGAACATGTGTGTAGTGTGAGAGCGGCATTGTTTGTCGGGGATGTCAACAGTAACTAAGGAGAGCGGGTCTTTGCGAACGGTCAATTCGCCTACTTATACTATGCCCTAAAAGTATGTACTCTTTTTGTGTACATACTTTTGAGTATGTAGCAGAATAGTTGGTCAGCTTTGGGACATACTACTTCGTCATAACTGCGTCTTTAACAGACGCTCTGTTTCTTAGTTACGTGCATTCTGTCACGGTTTAAACTGTCCTGTCAATCATCTAATCACAGTTCACAAAATACATATTTTGTGTAAGTTAATTTCCTACCGTATTGGAGAGAAATGAAGAGGCACGTTGATCTGCCAGTCGTGGTTCTCTCATGCCGAGAACTCTCTTCATTTGTTTGCATAATGATGCATTTAAAAGTTAATGACCAAACATATCATTATAAAAGTTCACAATGTTGCTGCAGATGAAATATAATGTGCATAACATTAAATATTTTTTAATCAGGTTAGACATTGATTATTTATCACTCAAACCCCTTTCTTTGCCTGTACGTCAATCGTGTGTATCCGCCATGTTTGTCGTTTTTAAACCCTTTTCATGCGTGTTTGTAGTTCTAATGGAATCCTCGTCCACCGCGCAATGTGTTGTGGGCAATATTAGCCGTTAGAGCGTGCATCGATCTGCACTTCCAATTCTAACCGGAAGTAGTAGACCATCCGGGAATCTTTGGCATACTGTGATTTGGGACATACTAATTCTATTTTCCAATACTATTTAGCACGGATGTGTGCAGCATGTGTTCTAAAATCGGCTGAAAATATCAAACATGTTCGATCTCCTCCGACTGGGTGGAATCAAAGTCTGAAGCTAAACAATCGGAGTCTGTGACCATCTACACTTCGCGATTTTCTATGGAATCTGTCAACTCCAAAATCGTGTTGAGGCTGAGCGTGGTTCACTCACATCTGTCTCTTGATGTAGTCCTTCAGCAGGTCCTGGTCCACAGCGTACAGCTCAGCGCTGCTCATGTTGTCGTAATAGTAGGTCACTGTGCTGTTGAATTTCTGACCGCAAGCACCATCCTTCCCCTCATAGCCTTTATAGCCATAGTATTCATAATGACCTGATGAGACCAGAACAACAGACTGAGTAAAACAGCAGATGAACCCCTGGAGTATTTTGTTACAGTACTGTGATGAAACAAACAAAATTATTCTCTTTTAACTTCTGGAGTGTTGTTCGTGTGGTGGTCAAATTACCCTTTTTTTTTTTTTTACAAGGAAATTAATGAACTATATTTTATTATGGTACTAAATTATATTTATGGAATAGTTATGATTAATTTATTACCCGTTAACCACTTTTTGTGCATAGAATTAAGTTGTACATTTCATTTTCTGGTCTGAGTTCTGAAGAATTCAAGATTTACGACAGTTTAAGTTTGGTCTCTTTGTAAAGAAGACACCTGGCAGATTTTATTGGTGAAGTGAAAAATGGTTTAAAAACTGAAAATAAACTAAAAACTTTTTTTATTATAAAAAATGCACAAAGTATTATTTTGAAACTGTATACGAAATATATATTTTCCAAAACATGTTTAACCCTAAAACTGCAAGAAAAATCAAAGCCATATATCTGAAAAAGTTGTGTTTCAAATTTTGAGGGTGATATCACAAAAAATTATTTAGATTTAAGATTTTTGTTTGGGCAAATTTTAACCACGATCAATACAAGTGTGACTATTTTTATTAGGACCATTCACATAGCAAGTACCAAGTTTTGTATCATTCCAGTAAAGTAAAAAATTTTTTGGTCAAAAATTACCGAAAAACACCAGAGGGATAGCGTTATTTCTGGAACACGGGGACAGACCATCTTTAGATTCAAATTAAAATGAGTCTCTCCACAAACCGAAGCCAAAATATCTCAGTGAAGAGACTCTGAATCCCGTGCAGATATGTGCTGGAGTCGTGTCCGTGTGTATTTAAGTGTGACTGCACTTCTGGAGTTCTCTACCTCTGCCGGCTCCTCTGCCGCGTCCTCGTCCCCGGCCCCGACCCCGGCCGCGGCCCCTGGCAGTGTATCTGTACGGCGCTCCCTCGCTCTTCACGCTCGACACCTCATCATGGTCGTCCTTGAACTCCTGATCGTACTTCCCACTGTGCCAGTCTGCAAACACAAACACAAGCCAGCACGGTGCTGTAGCGAAGAACCCACAAACCCTTCAAACACTCAAAAACTGCTGGTGTGCCTGACGAAATGGAAATACAAGTCAGTTACACTGCCATACAAAAACCTGGGACCAGTAAGATTTTTAATGGTTTTAAAGAAGCCTATTCTGCTCATCAAGGCTGCATTTATTTGATCAAAAATACAGAAAAAAACAGTAATATTGTGAAATATTATTACTAAGTTTTCTAAGTGAATATCAGTTAAACTGTAATTGATTTCTGTGATAAAAGCTGAATTTTCCGCTTTAAATCCTCAAGCTCGTTATAGCAGGATGGATTCGGATCGGGTCAAAGTTTGTATCGTTCACCAGATGGAAAAAATCTTTCTGATTCCAACAATATTGTTTCTCTGTGCCTTTATCATTATAGCTGTGGTGTGGACTATTGCTATTCTTTAATGCTGAGAATGATTTTTAGAACTACATCTTTATAGTTATGGTCCTTGGTGTGAGCGGGTCTGAAGTGTGTCTATGGTGTGCATCTGGTGAGATGTGGCAGGTATATAAAGCGCTGCACTGAAGGCAGACGGGTTTGGATGTGTGGGCACCTCTCAGGTCGTTTCTGCCGTTAGGAGGAACTCGATGAGCGTCAAGCTGACGCGTGTTATTCCTGGAGGCCGAGCGCTCGCGAGGACCCTCAGACTTCACCTCGATCCTCAGAGGAACCCACTTGTGCTTATTTCCTACAACAGCAACATCACAAATATGCGTGTCATAATACATCTTAAAGCTGATACAAGGAACATTAGTAGAGTTCATTCATTCACATTCACACAAAAAAAAAAAAAAAAAAAAACACTGTTTAGGCTTCAAACACCTCGCTTTTTTTGTCCATTTTTCTGCGACTCCTCGTCAGTGTTTTTCTCTTCTCCAGAGTCGTCCGATTTGGCTTTCAGGTTTTCTTTGCTCTCTTCATTTTCCCTCTTTCCTTTGGACTTCTTCACCACCTGACGGGTTCATCAAACCAAACAGATAAACAATCACAAACCCGTCTGACATTACACAGAAAACTCTGAAAACTTTTTTTTAAATATTGGCATGAATCCTTCAAATATTTTCAATTAAGTGTTGCTTTAAAAGGGTCAAGTGAAAAATAAGTGGATTCTGACTAACTTAAACCTCTCTGATTGGCCACTGCATATCACTGGTCACAGAAAGTGATATAAATATTCACGGAAGCAGCCGCCTATCAGTGAGTACTTTTTATTTTTAAAGTTTTTAAAGTACCAATTTTATCTTGGTACTAAAAGTACTGCAGACAGGCCGGTATTGTTACGTTTTTAAAATTTCAGTATCGACGTGGTACAGAAGTACTAATAGCCTATTTTTGACAATAATCAAAATCATTAGTTAACAAGTTACTGAATTACTGAAATACTTATCTTAAAGTTGAACACTGGATAGAAGGTTTGGAAACACATCACTGATCAAATTGTCAAATGTCAGTAGAGATGCGCCAATCTTGATTTTTCATGGCCGATTCTGATTTTTTACATTTGTTAATTTTTTTTAAGCAAGAGATAAGATGGAATGAAAATATGACTACATGAACAAGATGTTTTTTGCTCTATTACAGGGCAAACTTTCTGTAGCCATTTAAAATGAGAGGTAACCACTGCATTTTAATCACGATCCAATAGGGCTGGACAATAATTCAATATATTTCACTTTTCAGAAAAGTTTCGATGGCATTTTCATTTTATCTCATAAAGTAGCGTTCATGAGCGGAGCTCTGCTTTGATAACAGCCGTTACCATGGAAACCAATGTTTCTGCCGCTCCAAAAGCGCCTCCTGCTGGCAGAGAATGACCCGTGTCCCATGTCCAGCAGCGTGTTTTTGTTGTTGCTCACTCTTTTTTTCTGTTTTCTGTAGCAACTCTGAGCACTTTTCATATTCTTTATCCTGTTTCAGGATACAGTGGCGCTTCTGGAACAGCAGCGATGCAGCGTTTCCCTGGTTACCACTGTAAACAAAGCAGTGATACAGTGTTTCCCTGGTTACCGCTGTAAACAAAGCAGTGATACAGTGTTTCCCTGGTTACCGCTGTAAACAAAGCAGCACTGTGCCTAGAAAAACTACTTTAAGCAGGGCTCACACTACAGGAGTTTTAAAATCCTAACCGATTATGAAATCTGGTTGCAGCACACACACAAGGAGAATCTTTGCAGATTATCTTCTCTCAAATCGTAAACATGCACACACTACAAGATTTGAACATCGTGGCGCATCACACACTAGGGGTCGACCGATATATTTTTTTCAAGGCCGATGCCGATACCGATTATTACAGATCAAGTAGACCGATAACCGATATTTTGAACCGATATATATGTCTGG